CTCACAGCAGCCCAGCTCCAGGTTGAGCTGTTGTTCAGCATCTTAGCTGTGGAGGGCAGTGTCACTGGCCCTCTGGCGTCCCAAGCTAGCTCTTAACAAACGCGCCACTCCGCCGACCTGATTCAGCACTTCTTACCCAGACTTACGATCCATCCTACCAGGTCTGCACCAGGTGTGCCCCACGCCCAGGGGACCTGGGCTGCACCTGCTAAAACTTTGGGGGAATTCAGGGAACAAAATGGGTTGTTTTCCCGCTTTCCCCTTTGCAGACCGAGGCGTCAGCTCCCTAGGTTGCCGTCATGTGTTCGTCATCCACTTGCTTTTCAGCTCTGACATCATGCTGCCACCTCCTCCCCTCCCCTGTCTTGGTGGGCTGACACCATTTACAAAATCTCATCATTTTAGAGCAGTTTCAGGGAACAATGAAACAGTGAGAGTTTGTCTTGAGAACGTGGAGGCTTGGAGACAGCGCCCCCTGGTGCCGAGGAGCAGGAAGTGGGTGGCTCACAGGGCTGTGTCTCCACCTGGCACTGTGGCCGCCAGGCTCTGGGAAGTCGCTTCACCTGTCTGGGCCTGTCCCTCCTTTGCAGCGGGGGTGGTACCAGCATCCACCTGGAGGGTGAGAGGGGGTGCAGCACGCTGTGGGCGCACCGTGGGCACAGGGGCCATTCTCCAGAGCCATGGCTGGAGGTGACCCCGGGGGCCAGTCCTGCCAGGGCCGCCCCTGACTTGCGCAGAGCCAAGCAAGAGCAATTAGTGGGGCCCACGTGCCACAGGCTGAACCCTTACAGGAGTCACATCACAGGTAAAGAAAGCGTGCTCTCCTCTCCTGGCCTCACAACCACCTGGGTGGACGGCCAGGCGGGAATTTGGGGCCACCATTCCTGGAGTCCTGAGCAGAAGCCAGCGTGGCCCCGCTCCTGGCCCTTAGCTCACCCTGCTCTTCCCAGTCCAGGCCCCCCCCCAGGCCCCAAACAGCCACCCACACAGATGGCAGGTCACCTTCAGGAGACAGTCCTAGTTAGAAAGGGGCCAGACAGGCTCTGCCATTGGCTCTGGACACTTACACACAGAGCACTGGACCCAGGTCCCCAGAACATGGCCTCGAAGTACACACGGGTTCCCAATAGCTTGTCCCCACCTTCAAGGGGTAAGCGCCCTGGAAGAGGGGCGTGGCTGGCAAGAGCCAGACCAGGGTCCAGGAAAGGGCCTGCTGGCCCAGGTCTGCAGAACCCCCACCCAGGCCCAGGTCTGCAGAACCCCCACCCAGGCCCAGGTCTGCAGAACCCCCACTCAGGCCCAGGTCTGCAGAACCCCCACTCAGGCCCAGGTCTGCAGAACCCCCACTCAGGCCCAGGTCTGCAGAACCCTCACCCAGGCCCAGGTCTGCAGGCCCCCCACCCAGGCCCAGGTCTGCAGGCCCCCCACCCAGGCCCAGGTCTGCAGAACTCCCACCCAGGCCCAGGTCTGGAGAACTCCCACCCAGGCCCAGGCCCACAGGTGCCCCCATCCTAGGGAAGGTCTGGGGTGTGAGTTGCAATGGCCTGAGGGCCCTGAGCTCTGACGCCTGGTCTCCTGCAGGGATGGTGCTGGCTGTCTTGCTGTATCATGGCCATCTCCCCCGCCTTTTCCAGAGGAATCTGCTCTACAGCCAGAAGAACAAGTATCGAACCCCCAGAGGGAAGCCAGTCCCAGGACCTGGAGACACCCAGATGTCCGCAGAGAGACACACAGTCCAGGAGCCTGGGCAGAGTGGGGTGGGACGGCCGCTGCTGGGCCCTAGTGGACACGCTCCGAGTGAGCGTCCTGTGAGGGCCAGGTCCCTGGCTGGATCCCAGGACCGCTGAGCTGAGAGGGCACCAGACCCACCTTCACTCCTCCCCTGAAATCATTTGTCAATAAACCATCCTAAGACCTGCCTGTCTCCCTGGCCTGACAGAGACTTCTGAAGGAGGCAGGGGAGGGACGCTCAGTGGAGGCTGGTCTAAGTCACCCTCCCAAAGGCCTGTCTTTCCTCTTCTTTACAGAACCAGAATCAAAAGTAAGACCTAGGTCGAAAGGCCAAAGGTCCAGGTGACTCAACCTGGTCCTGAGAAAGGCCCAAAGGTAGAGTGTTCCACCGACGGTGCTGGCTGCTCTGGACACACCTCAGTGTCCACAGCCCAGGGAGGCCACGACACCCTGAGACCTGCTGGGACGTTACGGATGGTGGCTGGAGTCCAAGGCTGCAGGAGAGTGGGCCAGACACAGGGCACCCAATCCCACCATCCGCCAGCACCCTGACCCTCAGGGCAGTGACCCACAGGTCCTCCCTTCCCCCGTCCCCCCC